ACTCCGCTCTGTCCTGTGCCAATTGCACCGTCTCTGACACTCCCATCGCAATTATCCCAGTCACTGAATCAATCCACCTCATAGAGGGCCTTCCTCTCCTGCGCTGTCCCTCCACCCTCCCAAGCATGATGTCCCTCTCCAAGGACCGGTCTCTCCTCACAACATGTCCAAAGTATGTTAGATGGAGCCTCAGAATCCTTGCCTCCAAGGAGCCACCCTTTCCAGGATGAATCTGTTTGTTTTCCTAGCAGTCCATGGTATTCTTAATACTCTTCTCCAGCACCACAGCTCAAAGGCATCAATTCTCCTATCCTCCTTGGTCACTGTCCAACTCTCTGATGCATAACAAGTGATTGGGAAGACCAAATCCTGTATCAGACGCACCTTAGTCTCCAGAGAGACACCATTGCTCTTCAGTACTTTGGAGAGGTCCCTAACAGCAGACTTTCCCATGGCAATGCGCCTTTTGATTTCCTGGCTGCTGGTGCCAAGACTGTTGACTATGGAGCCAAGCAAACTAAAGCTGTGTACAATCTCAATCTCTTCACCATCCATCCTGATGCTGCCAATTGGTCCAGTGGTGAGAATCTTTATCTTCTTGACATTGAGCCTCAATCCATATTGTAGGCTGCAGGCCTTGACACTCTGCAGCAGGCGCTTCAGGTCCTCTTCAGTTTCAGCAAGCAGAGTTGTGTCATCCGCGTAACGCAGCTTGTTGATAAATCGTCCACCAATCTTAACCCCACATTTTTCCTCATAGAGCCCAGCCTCCTGGATAATCTGTTCTGCATATAGGTTGAAAAGGTATGGAGATAGGGTGCATCCCTGGCGTAAGCCCTTTCCAATTTTGAACCATGCAGTGTTCCCTTGCTCTGTTCTGACGACTGCCTCCTGGTCCAAGTATAAGTTTCGCATTAGAATGATTTACATCTAATGATAGACTTGTAAAATACAAAGGTTAATAGACTCGAAGAAAGAAACAGACAACATCGCAATCATAGCAGGAGACTTTAACACACCACTCTCACGAAAGCACAGGTCAATTCAAAAGAAACTCAATAGAGACAATGAAGGACTAAATTATACAATCAGCCAACTTGACCTTATAGACGTATTCATTACTCAAGAAAAACTTATTTTACTTTCTTTTCAAGTGCACATGGTAAACTCGCTAATACTGACCACATATTAGGACACAAAGCAAATTTGAACAAATTCAGAAACACTGAAATAATGCAAAGTATGTTCTCATATCACAGTGCCATAAAGACAGATATTAACAACAAAAAAAGAAAAAGGATAACATCCATGTGGAAGCTAAGTAACACCTTGCTTCAGAACAACTGAGTTATTATAGAAATAGTTTTAGAAATAAAAACTAAAATAAAAAAGTTTCTTATAATGAATGAAAATAAAAATACATTTTATTAAACCTCTGGGAGACAGCTAAGGCAGTCCTCAAGAGTCAGTTCAACAGTAATAAGCAAATACATAAAAAAGAAGAAAGGTACAAAATAAATTATGTAACTCAACACCTAGAGCAAAGAAAAAGACTAGCAGGTCAATCCCACAGCATGTAGAAGAAAGGAAATTATAAGGATAAGGGCTCAAATCAATGATACAGAAAAAAGAAAAAGAAATGAAACCATCAACAAAACCAGGAACTGGTTCTTTGAAGGAGTCAATAAATAGATGACTGGCAAAACTAATGAAAGAAAGGACTCAACTCCAGCAAGAAATGAAAGATATGATATCATAACAGAACCAAGTAAAAATGAAATTGATATCAGAGTATCAGAAAAAGCTATACTCCAGTAAATATGAAAACCTAGATGAAATGGACAAATTCCTAGAAACCCACATCCTACCCAAACTGACACAGATAGAAGTGGAACCCTGAACAGACCCATTACAAAAGAAGAAATGGAGCTGGCAATAAAAAGACTGTCCCTTAAAAAAAAAAATCCTGGCCTGATGGCTTCACAGGTGAATTCTACCAAACATTCAGAGACAAACTATAACAAATTCTATTTAAATTATTTCAAAAAATAGCAAAAGAAAGAACACTTCTAGAGTCATTCTAGAAAGCAAGCATAATTCTAATATCAAAACCAGGGCATAGATATCACAAACAAAGAAAACTATACACCAACATCTCTCATGAACATAGATTCAAAAGTCCTTAAAATCTTGGCCAAGAGAATCCAACAGTATATTAAAAAAATAATTCATCATGATCATGTGGAATTCATAATAGGAATGCAAGGATGGTTTAAAATAAGAAAAATAATTAATGTAATTCACATTAACAAAGTAAAGAGCAAGAATCACATGATCCTATCAAATGATGCAGAAAATGCATTCAACAAAATCCAAAACCTCTTCCTGATTTAAAAACTCAACAAAATAGAAACAGAAGGGAATCTCCTCAACATAGTGAAAAGTATACATGCAAAACCAAGAGCCAACATCATTCTCAATGGAGAGAGACTAAAAGACATTCCCCTTGCAAACAGGGACCAGGCAAGGTTGCTCACTATCACTATTCCGAGTCAATACTGTATTGGAAGTTCTAGCAAGGTCAATACAGCAAGAGAAGGCAGTTAAAAGGCATTCAAATTGGCAAAGAAATGATAAAACTGTCATTATATGCAGATGACATGATACTGTACACAAAAAAACACAAAGAAACCCCGTTAAATCTAACAGACCAATATAGCAGAGTGACAGGATATAAGATCAATATACAAAAGTCAGATTTCTCTACAACAACAAAGAAAGCTCAGAGAAGCAATACCATTTATAATAGTCAACCACAAGATTAAATACTTAGGAATAAATGTAACTAGAGACAGAAAAAGGCTTTTATAAAGAACACAAGAAACAAGAGACTTAACTAAATGGGAAAATTCCGTGTTTGTGGATAAGGAGATTAAACATTGTAAAAACAACAATCCTACCAAAAGGAATCTATACGTTTAATGCAATCTCAATAGAGAAATCAAATTCATTCTTTAAGGAGATATAAAGGCAACTTCAAGTTTCATTTAGAAAGGAAGGAGATACAGAATATGCACTTCCTGATCTCAAAACCTGTATTACACAGCTGGAGTAATCAAAACAGCATGGTACTGGTACGACAACACACAGACCAATGAAACAGAACTGAAAATACAGAAATCAACCAAATAACCTACTGATATTTGACAAAGCAATAAAACCCATTAAATGGGTAAATGACAGCCCCTTTAACAAATGGTGCTGGGAAAACTGGATATCTATCTGCTGCAAATGGAAACAGGATCCACATCTCACACCATACACAAAATCCAACTCAAAGTAGACCAGAGACCTGGGGGTAAAACCCAAAATCATAAAGATGATAAGATAAAAAACAGGAACAAGATTAGAAGCCCTGGCCTGTGGCATTAAATAGGCTGGCAAAACACAGAAAAGAAAAAAAAAAAGCTCAACCTAGAAAAGATCAACAAATGGGGCCTTCTTAAAACCAAATCCCTGTGTGCATCAAAAACCTTTTCCAGGATGGTGAAAAGCAAGCCCATAGATTTGGAAAAAGCATTTGGCAATGACATTTCGGACAAGAGCCTCATAACTAAAGATTACAGGATAATACATAGCTTCCACTTGAAAAGACTAATAACCTAATCACAAAACGGGCAAAAGATATACTCTTCAGAAAGAAAGATGGCCAAGAAACACATGAGGAAATGTGCAAAGTTACTAGCAACTGGCAAGATGCAAATCAAATCAATGAGATACCATCTCACTCCAGCACCAGTAGCAAAGTTTAACATCACAACAATCAGTAAATGGTGGACAGTATGCAGAGAGATTGAAACTCTTAGGCACTGCCGGTGGGATTGTAAAATGCTGTTGAAAGAAGGCTGATGTTTCCTCAAAAAGCTGAACACAGAAATTCTACGACTCAGCTATTCCACTACTAGGAATATATCCCAAGAAAATCAGAACTGAGACACAAATGGGGATACGTATGCCTATGATAATAGCAGCCTTATTCATAATAGCAAAGAAATGGATACAGCCTAAATATCCACCAACAAATGAATGGACGGAGAAATTGTGGTATATTCAGATAATGGTATACGCTGCAGCACTAAAGAATAATGATTTTGTAAAATACTATGTAACCTGGGAAAGACTAGAGAGCTGAATGAAATATCTCAGTCATATAAGGGCAAATATTGCATAATGTCACTATTATGATAACAGAAGGGTAAGATATGCATAAATGTTCAAAAAGGGGATGGAAAGGGGAGAAGGAGAGGCAGAAAAAACATTAGGATAGCACAACTCGGTGGGTGGAGGGGGTAAAGGATTGGAAAATGTTCAATGGGGACTTGAAAAGAGGGTGACAAAGAGCAATGGTAATTAATTATATAAAATATAATCTATGTACGTGATTGTATAAAATACAAGGTACATGAATTAAACACAATGTATATGACTGTATAAAACACAAAGTACATGTATGTACAAAATCTGATACATATGCAAGATTATATGCAAACCAATAAAACTTTTTAAAACTTAGGTGCAGAAGTCTTCACACTCAACAGGATGCATGGGATTTCGTAAACATTACATTTATGTAGATATGTAATGTTGGTGTGTGTGTGTGTGTTGGTGTGTGTGTGTAATTACATATATATATGCATGTTGTGGTGTACCACTGAGTCAGAACCAACCCATAACTGACCCTCCAGTGGGTTTTCAGAGGCAGGTAATTGCATGGGAGGAGACTACCTATCTTTCTCCCACAGAGCAGCTGGTGGATCTGAATTTGTGCCTTCGGGATTTTAGTGTAGCTTCTTACCGTAAGGCCACCAAAGCCCTTTATGCATGTATGTGTATGTGTGTATTTATATATATAATGTGTGTGTATTTATATATATAATGTATATATGACATATAACATATCATTTGATGAAATATAGATGTTCAAATTAGGCAGAACTTACCTTGCGACAACAATCCAGGGAGAGAGAGTCTTCGGCTGCCTCCCTCCGATTCTTCTTCCCTGATATCCACAAGACTTGAACTTTTCTTTCCTTGCATTGATTCCTGCTTAACCTGTTCTTCTCTGCTTTCTTTCAGACCTTCTGGGCATGTAGTACCACTGCTTGCCTGAGATCCAGTTTCACAAGGGGCTGTGCTATAAAAGTTCATAACTTTCTTAAGAGACATGGCCCCAGCTTCATAAGTAGCAGCCACTCTCACACCAACAGCAGATGCACAAGAGACCACTAAGCTGTTCAGAGCTGAGGTACTTGTTGTTGGCGGGCTGTGAAGATTAGGAATTGCTTCTTCTACAAGAGGCTAAAATATACACACATAAGAAGTATATATAAAGACACAATCTCTTAGACAACAATCAGTAAAGAGAATGTTTAACCTCTGTCACTATTTGCATATTTAGAAAATGAAAAACCATAATAGAAGGCTTATCCTGTAAGCCTCACTTTTATCACAGATTTGACACATTATGAATGAGTACTTAAAATACAATTCCTCACCAAGTACTTCCCCTTGGGTGTTGTGTTTCCATGGAGTCTAAAAATAAGTCCCAGTTGTTTTCATAAAATTAATCACAGTGGAAGGGAAAGGAGAGCAAAAGGGTAGAAAACACTGCTTTTCAGAAAGGTGAGCAGTGACAGCTCTGGGAAAGAGGCTAAAAGAGCTGAGTTTTATATTTATTGCTTTTAAGAACATTAGCAAATATAGATATTAAGGAATTTCAGAAAAATTCAGATTGTCAGAGGGGAAAAAAAGTCTTTATTCTAAGATGTTTGGTAAGTGGAAATTTTGACATGGTACACAAAGGCAGAAAAGCAGGTTAACCTCTGACCTGTCTATTATAATTATGGTTTTAAGGTCAAGTCCTGTGCTGTCTCATCACCGAGTAGTTTCACAACCATCAGGTTAGGTAAAACTGAGGAGTTACCTTTGCTCTCACTACCATGGAAGTAAATGAGGCGAGTTAATAATTAAGCATTTCTCACCAAATAGTTTAATCTTAATGTGGGTCACAGATGTACTAGAAAGTCAAATCAAGATCTGAAATATTTGGGTGAAAAATCCCTTGACATTTAGTTCAAGCTACCAAATATCATTGCTTACTAAGAAGGAAAGCTGTTAAACTGAACTACTAAACACAGAAAAAGCACTGGGCACATCCTCAGAGATGACATACAAAAAATGTCTTTTCCAGCTAACCCTAATTCCCCAAAGGTATACATTCTCGGTGTATTCTGTAATTAAAAACACAGAAAAATAACTAACAATGGCTTTTTGTTAAGAGGAAATAATTGTTGGTCGTTAGCCTAGTGCATGGCAAGTACTGTTGCTATGTACTGAGGATTTGGAAGTAACTGATAACTCACCATGCAGTGGGCTTTCAGAGGCAGTAAATCACATGGGAAGAGACTGACCATATTTCTCCCACAGAGCAGCTGGTAGATTCAAACTATCTAACTTTGAGTTGGCAGTGCAACACCTTCCCACTAAACTACCAGAGCTCCTTGGATTAAATGTGTAATGTTTAAGAATTATTCCTGTGCAAATAAGGAAATGTGTACTTAAAACAGAAAAATAAACACATGTACCATATAAAATATAAACATGAAAAGAAATATTTCCATGGTATTATTCTCTTAAGAGTTCTCCAACTCCTCTTCAGGAGAAGTATTACTATTTCCATCCTTTGTTTACAAAAGTTTGTGCCAGTATTTAGGGGTGACTGTTAAAAGAGCCCTGATGACCAAGTGCATTAGGTGCTGGGATTACTAATAAAAAGTTCAGTGGTTTCAATTCACCAGCCACTCCATGAGAGAAGGATGGGCAGTCTCTTCTTGTGAAGATTTACAGACTCAGGAATGTGGAGGGGTGCCAATAGTCAGAACCAATACTCTAGGGTAGTATTTCAACGGTGGCATCTTGGTGGTATCATGGTATTATATATTGGGTTGCCAACCAAAAGATTTGCAAGTGAACCCTCCAGCCTCTCTGTGGGGAAAAAAAAAGAAATCCAACAGAGGGTTACAACACATCTGAATGGACTGAACAGCCGTAGTTTTGTTCATTTTATTTTTTTAAGGAGGCATCTTACTGGGACTAAAGAGCTTGGTTGCTAACCAAAAGATGAGAGCTCAAACCTCCTAGCTCTTCCACAGGAGAAAGATGCTGCAGTCTGTGTCTTTGAAGATTTACAGCCGTGAAAACACTATGAGGCAGTTCTACTCTGTCTCACAGGGCTGCGATGAACCAGAATCAAGTCAACAGCAGTGGGTTTAATTTAAGGGTTCGAACCATTGCTACAGAAAAGTCATAAAAACTCTGCTATATACTAATAAAACATAAACATTATTCTTCTAATTAATCCTTCTACTTAATTATATTTAATACAAGACCAACTATTTTGATGAAAGACATCATTTTAAGAGTACCAGTCAACCAACAGTGAACTCTGGTGCCTGGTGGGTGAGGAGATGTGCTGCCAATGCAAAGGTAGGCAGTTCAAATTCACCAGCTGCTCCATGAGGAAAGATGGGCAATCTCTTCCTCTGTGATTTATAGTTTCTGAAAACTCATTGGAGGGTAGCTTTGAGTCAGTTGTGATCCAACAACAGCACATAACAATAAGTCAACCAGTAGCAAGATTCAATAAGAAAGTATGTGCTTCATTTCCAGTATTGGTTTATTTCACAAACTTGTGTGAAATTTCAAGCTTAATTCCAAAAAATGAAATACTTTTTCAATCATATCTAGACAAAAGAAAAAACCAACTTGCCTAAATGCCATGACTTTCTAATGAATAATTTGTATGATGGAGACACTACTTTTAAAAAATTAATACAATAAACATGCATACTACCAAAACTAGCACTGTAAATGAAAATGTAAAATGTTTAAGAAAATTAATTCAAAAGGAAATATAATTTCAGTGATAGTACTCTAATAATGGCTTAGTAAACTATTAATGTCAAAATGAATAAAAGTGCCTTTTAAAATGTTTTAGCTTTTAAACTTTTATAACTATATACATCTTTAAGAATTTCTATTTGCATTCTTGTTAAATTACTGTTGTTGGATTTAAGACATTTATATTGCTTTTCTTCACACAGTTTATTCTTAACTTAAAAAATAAATCCACATGGTAAGTAATTTGGAAAATAAAAACTAAAAAAAAAAACCCTTCTAAGTCATGTTCTCACTCAGATAAACGACCGCAATAGTCAGGAGTTCATGTGGTTGAGTTGGGAACTCGGAGGTAAAAAATACCCTAAAAACAGTTCATTAATGATTACATGGTTTGGTTTAGTTACACTAGGAAATTATTCTTGTCAGTAACTTGCAGAATCATTTGCTCTAAACAAGACAAACTTTACAGGATGCTTCTAGTAAGTAGCTTTTTCTTCACTTTACCACAAGTTTTCAAAATAAGAGTCATTTAAGTAAGATAAAAGGAACATTATCGCCCCACTTCAAAGAGAAAGCCCAAAAAGGACCATAACTGCAAATTAAAATTATTCAAACAGTATATACTTTCATTAAATTTTTAACTCTGCCTACAATGCAGGGATCTGCCTATACAATAAACTTCTCTGATAAAAAGGAAGAACAGAATGGTACAAATGGAGGCCAGTGAATCTTTGTGAATAAGCAGCTATATTAGACTATACTGTTTGAGAACCCATCAAAGTTCAATATTTAGCCAGGGGGTGGGAGAGAGAGAGTATCAGGAAGAAGAAAAAAAAAGGGACTTTGCTACATACAAAACAAGCCAGGACGGTATCTTTCAAAATTATAGAGGGCTTAGAACTTCAATGTAAAGTGTGATTTTTAACTAATCTAGGGTAATTTCTTTACCTATGCCAATCTGATAAAACAAACTAAAAAAAAAAATTTCCCTAAGAGCCACATCATGGCTACTTTAATTCTTTTTAAATTGAAATTTTAATAGAAGTTTATAGAAACTTTGGATTTCCATTCATTCACTGTTGCACATTTTCCTCCCTGTCCACCCCTGCCCCCAGTTGGTTCTTCTCTTTGAAAAGCAAAAAAAAAAAACACCAAAAAACAAACAAACCCAATTTTCATTATTATACAATTCCCTCCAGTTGTCCAAAAACAAACTACAAATGTTTTAACAAAACAACAACAACAAACAAAACCCCAAAAGCCCACCAACACCAAAACTGCCACCCTAAGTTTTAAAGTCTAAAGCTCTCAAGGTTCAGCTCCAGAAACATGTTATAACCCTGAGCAGGTACCTGGCATGGCACTGGCTTCGCACTGTTCTGGGCGTCCTCTCTTACTGAATGATCTGATAGTTTCTGCAAGTATTCATTCACTGCCTGGGTGTCAGGGTAAGATGGGATACTTCTGGCAGAAGAAATCTCAGTTGTTCCTGTGGTGTCTTGTTGGGAGGAACTGGCATCACCACTCGTGGTCTGAACACTTCCAGCATGGGGTTCAGAAGCAGCAGGCAGATCACTTTCTCCTTGTGTGTTCTCAAACACTTCTCCCTGATTACCAAGGGGGTCGAGCGTGGAGGGCGTGATGGCAGTGCTGGCATGGTTTTCTGCCTGGGATTCCGACAGTGTCACACCTAGTGGGCAGCAATGACTGTCAGATATAATCACATGATCTTCTTTGTCAGTCATAGTAATTAGGAGCTGGCTGCATTGGTTGCATCTCTCTGGGACTGGCTTCAGATCCTGGGAAGGGAGGCACTGTACCAGTGCTAGGCTGTGGAATGCACCACAGGCCACTTGCAGCACCACGCGCCCAGCAAGATGTTCGACTTTTTGGGGCTTCGTTACTGGGAAGGTAGTGGTGATGAGACCCAACTGACAGCCAGTCCCCCATGCCCAAATCTCTCTGCTTATTGACAAAGCCAGAGTGTGTTCCTCGCCACATGCCAGCTGCAAAATCCTGACTGCCAACAAAGGGCTGGTCTCAGAATCAGAAATGCTGACGGGGTTCGGCTCTGCAACGTACTGCTGGTTGGCGACTGCACACTGGCCAGCAGAATTCTCCCCCCACATGTACACGGTGCCACTTTCCGTCACTGCTCCACTGTGGAAACTCCCCGTCGCCACAGTAACGACATACTGCCCAGTCAGGGCATTTTCTAGAATGGGGCTACTTGGACAAATCTCTGCTGGCTCGTGTCTCCAGGGGAGTGTCCCAAAGCTGTAGACCTCACCATCTGAAGGTAAAAAAAACAACGGGGAGAGTTAAGGGAATTAATGACATTTTTATCAAGAGATTTATAGTTCTCTTTAGAGTTAACATAATAGCTTCCCCCCCATTTTCCAAAGCACATTTGTAGAAATGCATTCCACGTATACAGTATTTAAATTACTCCTCATCAACAAATGACTCTCAACTCTACAGAGAAATTCTACAAGTTAATGGGTTACTTTCCAATGAAGAGCATTACTCTTTTCTGTCAGTCTCATTTCACTTGCTAGCACTAATCCACTACTAATGGCTAGCATAATACTTTTTTGCTGTTGTTAAGAACATACACAGCATAAATAAGAAAGACAAAGGGGCTAATAATAATAATTATACACACAGCTAAATCTACACTACTCATAGTTTCTGCATATTCAATTCAGTGACACTGACTGCAGTAATTCAGTTTTGCAATCACTTACCCCCTCCTTTTCAAAATTATTCTTCCCTCATTAACACACATTCTTTTTCCCCTAAGGTTCCTATTTAATCTTTCAAGTTGTTGCTGTCACTTTTATCCCATACAAATTATTCTTTAAAAGCCTATAATGCTCAAGATAGATTAAAAAACAAAGAAAGAAAGAAAGAAAAAACCCTAACCCAAACCAAAAAAAAACTATTATGTCCTGGGTCATCAAGTCAACTATTATAACAATCTTATGAGTAACACTCCAAACCCTGCCTGCTTCATCCTCAAGCCCACTGCTACTGTCGCCCACTGCTACCGTCACTGTGTCAATTCACGTTATTGAGAGTCTTCCTTTTTTCTCTGACCCTTCACCTCTTTTAGCCATGTGAGGGCGAAGTTTCACCAGCCTTGTCTCTAAGGACCATCCTGGTTGCACTTCTGCTAAGACAGACTTAATTGTTCTTTTAGCAGTCCATGGAATATTCAGTTCTTTTCTCCAACACCACAAATGAAAGGTATTTCTTCTTCTGTCATCCTTATTCACTACACAACTTTTAGATGTACAGGAAATAAATGAAAATGCCATGGCAGAGCGGTGGCCTAGTGGCAAGAAGCTGCACTGCAATCCCAGAGGTATGTGGTTTGAATCCACCAGATGCTCTGCTGGAGAAGGAGGGGTAATCTCCTCCTGTACCTGTCAGATCCAATTTGACGGTACACATACAAAGAATAATTTAAAAAAAGAAAATACTAATGGCTTGGATTAGGCAAACCTTAGTTATTAAAGGGACATTTTTTGGGGGGCTCTTTTCAGTTTATTGTATGGCATAGTTACACTAGTCCAAGTTACAAGTGGACCCCATTATACAAGCTGTGAAGTTTTAAACTTGTGACAAGGGACAGACAGGAAATTTTCTACTCATTACAAGGAAGTCGTCACTTAAGCTTCAGTGAGCCACAAGCACTTAAAACCCATGAAGCTTCAGCTGGTGGTCCTTAAGTCCAATCTCTACAAGGAACTGGCATATATTCTTGTGCTGGTCACCCTGTAGCTGAATTACTTCTTCATATTCTGGATGCTCAATTTTTTTTTAATCTACTAATTATAAGAGAATCTCATGAGATAATCATCATAGTCTATTATAGGACATTCTAAATGCTTCAAGAGAAAGTAATTATCATGTTAAGATGAAATAAGCATAATACAAAATAAGCACATGTGCTAATAGCAACAACATTTACTACTGCTGAACAAGTTAGAGAAGCAGGAAACCATTCAAATAGGGAAAAATGTTAACACACACTCTCTGGCCCAAAATAAGAAACTAACTGTATGCTTCCAGGTAGTACAGAAAACTCCATGTCAGTTGTCTTCACATTTTGTACTATATACAACAATTTTAAATGCACAAGTATTAACCTTAATGTAGATCTCAGCTTTTCTGATGTGAGGTTTATTTATAAAGCAAATCAGCACAATAAGGTAAACAAAGAAATAAACAAATGAAGCAATCAGGGCGACAAGCTAGTGTTAGATTAAAAGGAATAGGATGCCAGTGAGTTGGATATACCAGCAAGTAGTTTACAGAAGCAAATTCAGTTAGACTGAACGATGATAATCTGTTTGACAAAGGAAGAATTGTGATCAGGACTTAACTGTATTTCAGCATTGTGGGAGTTCAGCTGTATGTACATATGATCTATGCTGCAAATGGGACAAAGTTATGTCCATGGGTTGTTATAAAAATTGAACTTGAACTAAGTCTACTTTTCTTTTTCCCTCCATATAGAAGATAGAATTTTTTTTTAGAAGACAGAATTTTTATGACTAGAAATCTATGAAAAATTTTTAATTAATGTAGAGATAATTGCTATTTTTTTCAAAAGGCAATAATTTAGTTATTAAAAATACTTTAGATTACTATATATGGTAGTTATATTTATACATTTACATTAACCCACTATGTATTTCTACAAGAACACAAATAAGCTGAGAAGGAAGATACCTGCTTTTATCACAGAGTTTCTAGTTTGGATAAAGAGTTACTAAGAAAATAGGATCACTTAAGTTGTCCAAACTTGAAATTTTTCCCAAGTGATATAACAATACAACAGCTGACCAACACTTTCAGTCTATATCATCCCATTGGAGATATTAAAATGGAGTGGAGAAGGGATATCTGACACTCTCCGCTGTTGAGTCAATTCAAACTCACAGTGACGGACCCTCCGTGATGTTTGTGAGGTTGCAAATAATAATGCGAGGAGACTGCCCACTGTCTTCCTGGTGGATTTGAACTGCCAGAGAAGCACAGCCTTTGGTTTAACAGTGTAACTCACTACAAATCACACCACCGGAGCTCCATCAATGACGTGCTCTTACTGAACAATGAGCTAATGGTCAAAACTGAAAAGAGACAAAGAAGCCTGGAAATCTCCAGCATCCAACCAGCACCACTTTCTTTTCTATCAGAAAAGACAGGACTGGAGATCCTGTATCCTTTCAAACTGCATGCTTGTGTGGCATGGCATTTTTTCATTATTTTCATAATTAAAACCAGAACACTGCTTAGACATGAGTAATGACGGGCTATTTATATAACCACTTTACAAGATCTCCCTGTTGCCATGTATGTATGTTATTTATGTATGACGTTAGACTTTAAGGAGATCATGTTCCTGAAGAGATTTCAAATATTTGACTTAAAGACTAATAAAATAATAACAACAGAATTCCACTTGCATATACTAAAAAACATTCAACTCTTAACATCTCATAGAACAGTTATTTAAGATTGTTTACACCTTTTTTAAAAAAATTTCCATTCATTCATTGTTGCACATTTTCCTCCCTGTCCACCTCCCACCACCAGTTTGGTTTTCTATTAAAAAAAAAAAAAATTCTTCATTATTACACAATTCCCTATCCCCATCCCAGTCCACTTTACTAAGCAGCTCTTATTCTGGACTGTTGTATGTGAATAATACCTAATCATCTATTACTTTTAAGCAGTTCTCTCCCTCATTTGTTTCAATGCAGTGTACATTATTTAACCCCTCTTTTCTTAGTTCCCCTCCAACCCCAAAGGCAGTCCTATTTTATAACAGTAGCATTATGCAGTATTTTTGTTCTTCTGTCAACCATTTTGTATATTTCATGAGTTCCTTGTTTTTCAGTGCTGCATAGTATTCCATTGTGTGAATATATCAAACTTTCTCTGTCCATTCATTTGCTGATGGGCACTTGGGTTGTTTCCATCTCTTTGCTATTGTGAACAATGCCACAATAAACATGGGTGTGTCTTTAAATTTTATACTGGTTTATTCACAAAGTTCTAATACATTGTTTTTCACACCAGATGTTTTCCATTTTCTTAACATACCCTCACCAATCAAACTGTGTGACCCTATGATTAAGGACCCCACCCCACTCCACCCATCTTCACCCCTCTGTTCCCACCCTACGTCCCCACTTTTAAAAATTTTAATGAAAGTTTACAGAGACTTTGGATTTCTATTCATTCATTGTTGCACACTTTCCTCCCTTCCCGATTCATAAGTATGATGATTGGGAGTTTATACTTCTGTATGACATGTGCTGCCCTTTAAACCTTGTTATAACATAGGCACACTATCCATCTGACATGAGAAAAAAAGAAAAGTAAAAAAAAAAATCTTCCATTGTTATACAATCCCCACCACCACTCCTACGCAGCTTTCATTCTGGACTCTTGTCATAACAATAATATCTAATCACATATTCCTCCTTAATAGTTCTCTCCCTCATCTATTTCAATTCAGTATATCTTATTTATCCCCTCTTAGTTTTCCCCAACCCCGATGTCAGTCCTGTTTTACAACAGTGGCACTATGCAGAATTTGTCTTTTTTTTTTTTTTAATTTTTTAATTTAATTTTATTTTATTTTATTATTTTTGTGTACATGTACTGCCAAATCAGATCTGACTGGTACAGGAGGAGATTGCCCCTCCTTCCTCGGCAGAGCATCTGGTGGATTCGAACCGTGCACCTCTGGGATTGTAGTTGCAGCTTCTTGCCACTAGGCCACCAGAGCTCCCATTGAATTTGTCTTTTTATGACTGAGATATTTCACTCAGAATAATGTCCTCCAGGATCATCCATTTTGTATAACATTTCATGAGTTCCTTGTTTTTCAATGCAGCATAGTATTCCATTGTGTGAACATATCACAGTATCTATCCATTCGTTTATTGATAGGCACTTGCATTGTTTTCAACTCTTTGCTATTGTAAACAAAGCTGTAATAAACAAGAGTGTGCATGTATCTGCTTGGGTTCTAGTTTCTTTAGGGTATATTCCTAGCAGTGGAACTGCTGGCACAAATGGTATCTCTATTTCCAACTTTCTGAGAAAGCACCATATTGCCTTCCAGAGTGGTTGCATCATTTTACACGACCACCAATAGTGAATAAGGGTTCCAGTTTCTCTACAACCTCACTACCATTTTTTGTTTGCTTTTCTGTTGAATTTCGCTATTCTTACTGGGGTGAGATGATATCTCATAGGTGTTTTGATTTGCATCTCTCTTAGGGCTAGGGATTTTGAATATTTCCTCGTGTTTGTTTGCCATCTGAATGTCCATTCTCTTTGTGCCCATTTTGAGATTAGATTGTTTACTTTTACCTTGTTGTAGTGACTGTTTACACTTTTAAAAAATGTTATTTCAAATTTTTAAAATTTTATTATTTTTTGTGTGTGTACGGTCACATCAGATCTTACTGGTACAGGAGGAGATTGTTCCTCCTTCTCCAGCAGAGCATCTGGTGGATTCAAACTGCACACCTCTAGGATTGCAGTGCAGCTTCTTGCCACTAGGACACCAGAATTCGCCAAATTCTTATACTATATATACATAAACAATAAATGCAATGTAATAAAGATTGGAAGGAAATGCATGTTTATCTTATAAAATTACCAAGGCCAGATTTAACTTTATTTCCTAGAAGGAAAATACTAAAGCATTATTTATTAGTTAATAAATACTTACAGAATAGGAATTTATATATTAGTTAAGCCGACAGCAGTTCTAGCCAAAATAAAATGTACCATGACTGAGTCAGTAAAATGCCATCAAGATTAAAGGCAATTCTATAAATAAACCTTAGCATGTGTTTCTATCTGTTAAAGATTTTACAATATCCTTTCATGAGGTGCTATTTGTGACTAACAAAAATTGTACTGAGATGAATGGGCAAGGGGGCTTAAAACGAAAAAGCAGCTCTGAAATCTGACTGGATTTCAATCTTGACTGACAATATTTAACGTCAGATTTAGGTTTTTCTCATCAGAAAACAGCAGTAATAATAACAGCTGCTACCTCATAAGGTAGTTATGAAGACTCAAAGGGATAACACGTAATTATGCCTGGCACATATAATTATTTAATAAATGTTAGGTATTACTGGCAATATTTTGATACATGCAGTGCAAAAAAAACTACAGTAAAAGTGTTGTATATAAATAACCTTGAAACTTAGATTTTCAGGGAGGTCCATTTTTTTAGGGATGTAACTTTCTAATAAATTTCTTTACTATTTTAACCTAAAAAAAAAGTTCTAATTTTTCATGTAGTTATTATATGAAAGTTTTAAAAACTATAATTGTCTCATTTATTCTAGTTATGGTACATCTTAAAGAAGAAATCTGATTTCTAATAGGATTAAGAATACATTTTTAAATCAAGTAAGTTTTAGCAGAGTTCATTTCGAACCTCTGATGTCCTGATTTGGCACACAGAGCAGGTTATTTTTTGGTGGGTTGTTTTTTTGTTTTGTTTTTTGCACTGAGTATATCTTGGGCTTCCACTTGGTACTTAATAAGCCGATCTTTTCCATACCTTCAGTCAGAAGAACTCCATGTTTCATTCCAAGGGCTGCCTGAAGAACAGTCTTTCCTCCCCAGCCTGGTAATCTCTCAGGTGTCACAGAACAGGATCCTGCCTGCCAGACATGGACCAGGCCTCTTTCTTTGGATCCTTCTGCCTCTGTTGAGCTATAAAAATAAAGGAGAAAGAAAATAGCTTAACTGTTTCTGCAACTAAGAATCCTATCTTTTGTTCTTAATACTGTTATATGTCTTTAACCAGCAGATAGTTTAATTAGCAACCTATACTGTGCTTTGGTTGTCAAAGAGATGCTGAGATAAAACTAGTTATAAAATGCTTAAGGATTATCTAAACCTACCTATTACTTCTCTCTAAGAAGCAAATAAAACGTAGGCTATTTTTGGAAGTGCCAGGTCTAAGAAGCATGAAATTCTAACATTTGAACTTCTCAATACATTAATCCCTTGGTTAGAAATTGAAGTTATAGAGGTATGCGGTTCAAATCCACCAGATGCTCTGCTGGAGAAGGAGGGGGCAATCTCCTCCTGTACCAGTCAGATCTGATTTGACGGTACACGTAAAAATAATACAATAAAAAATTTAAAAAAAAACACAAAAAAGAAATTGAAGTTATACTCCAAACTGAAATTTTATTTTTAAAAAATTTTAATTTATAGTTGGTAAAAAAAAAATGTGATAAGAAACATATGAAAAATAGGGATCTGGCAGGACTCAGAGAATTTTCTATTCCAGATTATCTGGAGCACCTAAAAGTCTTTAGTTATTAATTCATTATTATTTTGAGAACAAAACATATGTAAATCAGATGTAGGAAGAACAAGAAAGCCTTGATAGTCCATGTGCCATTTTCATTTTTAATACAAAGAATATTTCAATATTATAATTAA